GAGCAGTGGAAAGCTCTATAGAATACAAATACCAAGGAAGAAAGTTTTCAGACACCTCTCCACAAATAACCGGAAGATTATACAGTACAACCTATATCTCCAAATCTCAATCTAATCTGTTGACTAGACCATACTTCTGTCTGGCATCTGAAATAATTTGGCACAAAATTCTTACCTGCAAAAACTCTCTGACATTTGAGCCCAGGACACGTAGAATTGTATCATAACCAGATTCTTGACAAAACACAAAAAACATCTTCCCAAACATTTGAAGAATTTCCCCAGCATTTAGATCTAGTTAAAACAGGAAAATACGATTCAGTCCAAACACTGCATTTCATGCACTTTGCTTGCTACTTTAGCCTCGTATTCATAAATAAGAAAGACAGTACCTAAACTCTACTCAGAACCAGTAGTTCAAGAATATGAGAAAAACAAGATTCAGGGTTCACATGGCAAATAATGAGTATTCAATACAATATTTCATTAGAATTTACCAATTATCATTACGACTTTGCCACATTGTGCATTTCATGCATGTATCGCATTTTAGATTTTGATACAGATAAGAAATCACTACTTGAAAATAAAGGAACTCAGTTGTTAATTGTGCTCGTCTCAGGGGAGTTACTTCTGGTTTACAATAGCATGAAACCACATCAGCCGCTCCAATTCAACATAACTACCATAGTCTTATGGATTCTTGGCTAATTACTGATTCAGAACAAATTCATACCACACTTGGGTCTGCAGATAAAATAATGCTGATGGGCATAATTCTACCTTTTAAATTCCAGACCAGAGCTGCAATGACTGAAAATGAATGTGACCCAAATCAATGGCAGATATGAAATGAGATGTGCCCATGCCACAAACATTTCTGTAACTCAGCATGTTTCTTCAACAGAGAGATCAAGGATTCATTCATGGTCCGCTCTTGCAGCAGTGGTTGAAATCTGGGTGTATTGGCAAGGTAGTTACAGCGGTAATATTGTTACTTCATGGCTGCTTGTAATACTGACCATGCTCTGTGGATGAGGCATATTACTGCAGTTTAAGGTGTATCTATGACTTGGAATACTTCAGAAGTAATAAAAATCACTTCAAGTAATAAAAGGAATAAAAATATCTTTGATAAATTTAAAAAAAAAATCCTTTCTTCAGAGATTTTTTAAAAATTCTCTCTTTGACCAATTTTCACTTCCTCTGTGCTAAATCCTGTTTCTCTCTGCTACATGGATTTCTTTTTTTGGGGGGGCAGGGGGGGAAGCATCTTTTATGTCATGAATGGGCAAAGAAGATATCCGTATTACTTACTAAGGACCTTGCTTGCAGCTGCAACCAGATCATAGGTTTTGGAATCATCATAAATTATTCTGACAAGAAACTGTCCTTCTTCATCCAGCTGTGCCTCCTTCCTAAAAAGAAAATAGAACAAAATCTTTTTGGTTGAGGGAGAAGCACCATATCAATAAATCAATTATATATTGTTTGGTATTAATCTTTTAAATAAAGTAAGTTTGTAGGTTCTACCTTTAAGAAGTTACTTAAGAGAAATTAGAAATAAATCTGTTCCATATCTCAGAGTCATTAAGGTACAATAGAAATATTTCAGACCATGAGTGTTCTGAAAATAATAATTAGCTGTGAGAAAATAAACACAATTTTTCAGTACAAGAGCCTCACAAAGAAGTTACTGAACTAATAAAGACAGAATTTGCTTTTTAAAATAAGGGAATATCCAATAATCCAGCCCAAGATGGGTTCTTTAAACACTTTATAAGCAAGTGTTTTCATTCCTTCCAATTTTGATTAAACTTTATTTGCAAAAGGAATGGGATGTTTTTAACAACCATTTGCACGTATCTTCAAAGAGGAATCTAAAATCCAAATGTAGATATCTAATCAAATACCTTTTTTTCAGAATTCTGCACATGCCCAGTAGATAGAAATAAAAAAAGAGATGCTAGGATTTTGTAAGGCCTTGTTCTCACATTGCACATCAGTTCTTCATGAGTAAAGAGTCACCACTCAGCTAACGCACAATAAAAATACACATTTCTTCACTAAAGGAAACAATTCTCAACCCCAGGTTTAAGACAAGACTCGTGCGTATATCATGTGCACACTTACTACTGCTGCTAAGTAAAAAACCAAAACAAAATGACTTCTTTGTTTTTCAGGATCATTTATTATTCTCTTCAGCTTTAACATTGATTCAGCAGCTTGTCCAAAAGGCAGCACAACTCCGTAGGCTACTTTTTTTTCCTGAGGAAAACGAGTTGATATCTCTAGGCCTGTTGTGCCTCCCAAGCCTTGCATTGGACACAAGTGAGTTGCTAGGGATGGCCCACAAGTGTCTTCCTCCCTATTTTACCCCATGTGCTTAACACAGGAGCCAGGCCACTGGTGCTGCAGTGGTGGCTGAGTCCCAGCTCCTCTGGAGGAGGACAAGGAGCACCTTCATGGGCAGACAGACCCCAGGGCCCTGAAAGGCCAGCTGCCCCATGTGGCTGGCCCTGCTGTGCATGGCATGTCCTAGAGCATGCCAATGGATATGGCCGTGACTCTGCCCTGTTGCAAGTGCAAGTCACATTCTGTATTTGCTCCTCATTCCCTGGCACATTGTCCTTCAGCAGAGAGAGGAGGACGTGCAGGGGGCACACTGTGGTCTCCGATGAAGCCATGTGCTGTTTGTTGAAGTCCTCACCTGGCAAAGGGGCACAGCCTCCTTTCTCAGTATATTTTTTATAATAGCTGTTCACCTTCTGTGATTTCACCTACAACGACTCTCCATTGAGACAATAGGCTTTGCAGAAATAGTGACAGAAGAGGAGACATTTGTAGGTACTCATGCTCTAATTTATGTGCTTAGAATGTATTTTGGCTCACCAAAACTAGTATGATCATGGCATCGACAGCATCTTTGCAGGTGGAGGGTCACAGCTACCTCATTAAAAAGAAAAGATCCCCTTTCATCTAAATGCAGATCTATGCTGCAGAACACTTCAGAAAGACAAAATAAAGGCAAAGAGGTAGGAAAGCCTAGAAGAGAATGACTGAATCACACCTTCTTATGTCACACCAAAAAAAAGTTAGTACAGGGAGTTGTTCTTCAGAAAAAGGCTTAGAATTAGAAAAAATATCAAAAAGGCAGATGATGAAGTAGTTTTTTATAAAAAACTAAGCATATGTCACGCAAATCAAGACATTCATCAACTCAGGACTCGAATAATTATTTTTCTAACACACAAATGAAAGAGAAACATGAGCAAAAAACTATTTACTAGTACCATGGTAATGAAGGGCTTTTACCAGACTAGGACATAAATGCTCCTTGAGATAAGGCTGAAACATACAGTTTAAGACCCAATATTTCTAACTGTTCTAAATTTCTAATCGTCATCAGAGGAATTACAAACCTATAAAAAGTAGATTCTAAACCTACTATGTAAAATCCTACACCCTCTTTTACATCAAAATCTTTGTCTCCATCATCATAACATGAACAACCATCAATCAAAAAAGTCTTTGGCTGAAACTTAGATTCCAATTTTCTAGAGCTGGCATAATTTATTTAAAAAATAAAATAATACAAAATAATAATGCCTGCAGAACAATTCAAGTATTTACAGTCATAGTGGATTTACCCAGCCATACAAACAGAAACATTTTCTGTGTTATTCAAAGGGGAGAGAGGTCTGGGAATTAAGTACTCTTGTTCATCTTAAAACTGCTAGATGGTAAATGGTACTGCTGATAAGGCCTGATTCCAATCTCATATGGTAGTACTCTATTGACCTAAATGAAATTACTTGTCATTTAACCCTCCAATTAGTAATCATCAGTCTTTGATAAACTGTTCACTTATCAATGGAAGTCTGCAACCCATTATTTTCTTTTTCCTCTTCATCTTCCTTTAACCTTGCTCATCACATTCTTACTGCTTACATCAAAAATTATACTACATTGTTTTTATATTTCAAAAATATATCTACCTTTTTTTATTAATTAATGAAGTCTTGTTACTGCTACTTGACATATACATTTTTACACTCACTCTATGAATAGGCATAATAAGCTAAAAACAAGCTAAGCAATTTTCCCAAAGTAATACAACAAGGCTACAGGAGAGGTGAGACTGAATAGACACTAACAAGCAGGACAAAACTGGCTGCAAGAGTGTTCTCAGAGATACAAAAAGATAAAGTACAGTGTCATATTTTTTAAATAATCAATGACAATAATTTATTCATTACTTGAGGAAACAGTATATTTATAAAGAAGCAAGCAGAAATGGTATGTGTACACGCAGTCCCCTAAAAAACTCTTATTTTCATACTCCAAAATAGTACTTCTGGTGCTTCTCCCCAGCCATTCTCTGAAAACTTCAGATCAGCCTGCAGGATATCAAGTCTCACTGATTCCTGAAAAGAGCTGCCATGCCACATACTCCTTCTTTTCTTAAAAGGAGAGCTGGAGTTATTAGTGGGAAACGTTGTCTTGAAGCACATGAGGTCAGTCAGGGACAAGAAGGTAGGGTTTATATTTCCTAAGAACTGAACTGAAATTAATATGAGAAAAGAAAACCGTCTTGATTCTTTGATTCTCATAACATGACATGTAACTGGAAGTCAGATACAGTTTGGAGGGAAGTTGCAAAGGGTGAACAAATTTTCCCACATCTCTGAAACACACTGTGATTTCTTTTAGTCTCTCTGATCTCAGCCAAACCACAAAGGATAACACACACATCTGGAAAAGCAATGAACATCCTCAAAATACTGCATACTTGCAAAATCCAGTAGACACAGTTTTTGAGTGTGAGAATTTTCTCTATTAAAAATTGACCCAGTTTGATGATGCTGGTGTCTCTTCCAAAACTTCTTACATTTCTTTCCAATTACATTGACTGGAACTTTTCCTGTTTCCTTCTCTGCGTGAAGCCATGCTTCCTTTTTTCTTATTTTAATTGTCTTTAGGTTACTTTGTCAAAGTTTTTCTTCAATGCCTGCAGTTTCTCTGAGCCACCACTTTTTAAAATCACCACTGGTTATTTCAACGCCTATTCCATTTAGATTATTTCAGCTATTTTGTTTTTCTCCAGTTTTCTCTAGCAGCCATTTTCTCTGTAGCCTTAATGATCTATTTCCCATTAAAATAACTTTATTGATAAAGTTAAACAAAAAATAGTTCAATTAGCAATCACATCTGCATTCCTTGGATATAATTTTCCAGGGTGAAACTCACTGCTCTAAGGCTTCGCTCTCCTTCAGTATTAGCAGTCTCACTGGGTGTTCCAGCAGTCCAGGAAAAGGATGCAGTGCTTGTACTGCAGGCTAATACTCCAAAACAACAAAAAAAATGTTCTGCCTTTTAGTTATTTTTATTTTAAAAAGACAGAGAAATATGTATTAAAAAAAAAGTAATGCAACAAAAGCCAATCTCATTTTGGGATTTTTTTTCTAGAAAATGTGTCAAATTAAATATCTACTCCTGCAGGGGATTACACTCCTCACTCAAAACCATGTGGGCAAAAATCTCTTTGCTTGTCCTACAAATATGGCAAATCCCATGACAATCTCTGACCTAAACCTATGTCAAAGATAAATTGCCTTTTTAAAGCCTGTGCTTGAAAGTTATTATATTAAAAGTTATTAGATATTTGTTTTTCTGGGTTATTTTTCTGCTGGATGGATTTCCCTGTATGCTTCATCACCTGGTCACAGAAGTTGCTGTGCATATAGAACAATGTGTAGCCAGAGTGGCTGAGGACAGGATAGGAGGTTCAGTGAAGTCAGCTGAAGCCTTTCCGCTGCCTGCAGTGAGCTGGGTCTGCAGCTTCTGAAGCCTTTCTGCCTCATCTGACAGCAGTGAGAACTTCAAAAGTCTTTCTCTCTGAAGTATTTGATTAGCCTTAAGACTACACGTGTCGGGGAAATGCTGCTGTAAGCTTATCCAAAATGGCCAATGCAATGTGAAAACACTCCTATTTTTGCAGGGGCACTTGTCCTTCAGCAAGCCTACAAAATTGCAGGTCGTCTAATAAACTTGTGTCAGAGAGCATAGCATCACAGCTATCAGCACCAGAGAGGCTGACCATGAGGTGACCACCAGCAGTCTAGGAAACAGGACAAAGTCATTGAAATGTTCATTCAGGTGAATGGGCAATCCCTAAACTGTTTCCTCAGGGCTGCAGTTTTCTCACCTAATTACCTGACCCCTACCTGATCTATCAAACCTGCCTGCATTTACACCATAGAACTGGTTCTACAACAAGGGTGATACAAAGAAATATATGATAGTGTTGTGAAAACTGTTGTAACTAATACTAAAAGTGAGGCTGCTTTGTCAGCTTTGCAGAGCTACTGTGGTTGGCTGTCCATCGACAGTAATTCCTCCAGTGTGACAT